AACAGCTGCCCTTCTTATGTTTGATGAAGAATTTTGGAATTGGAGAATTCTTTTTCTCACCCACATCACATGACTGCCTTGCTCTCTGGCTTGTGTGCATTTAAGAGTGTTGTTACTTGAAAATGTTGGTGTTTTTAAAGCCTTTTGAAAGGTGACAGTGTTATGGGCTGTCAAATGTTATTTTGAGTTTTGATGTGGGTCTGTTGCAAGCATGCTCCTTTCCTGGTTAGCAGGAAGCATCCTGTCATTGTCCCTGCAGACATGTCATGGCAGGGCATGTTACTTCTTCTCCCTGGGAGTTACAAAGGTGGAAGGCTTTAGTTTGTTTTAATTTTCAGCATGTAGGCTAACTTGTGGAGAAGCTTGCCCTGGTCACAGAGCTGCACACTCTAAAATATTCTTTCCTGTGCTCATCATACCTGCTTGAACCAACCTTCCTGGATACGTACTGTCAGTCCCAGGTTCAATGTGTTTTGTGCATTTTAAACACTGCTGGGTTTCTCCCTCACTTATGAACAGTTTCCAAGCTTATTGTTTTGTTTGCTTATAAAAATAAAATATGCCTCTAATGTTTAAATTCCACCTCTTCTTGTCTCCTGTAACTAAAAAAACCCCAAACCCACACACAAACCCCAACCAGCAATGTGTGTAGCACAGCAATTTTATCTTGGTTAGTTGCTTCGTTTTTTACTCAGCTAGATTGCCTGCATTTGTTTTGTGGGACTAGCTGGTCTTAGCTATTGGGAAAACATAAATCTCACCCAAAACACAATGGAGGCATTGGAAATACTTCTGAGAGTCCTGTTGTGTTCTGCAATGTTGGTTTGGTTATGTAAAAACATGGTTTGTTCTCAGTGTTTCTCTTTGAGGGAAGGTGAGAGTGCTAAAGGGTTCGTCTGTGCATTCTGTCCTTAGGTCATGGCTGAAACTTCCTTCAGTTCCAGCACCACCACTGACTGTAATAGCAGTACTTAGTGCTCTTCACTTGCCTCTTCAGTCTCAGCAGAAGCAAGTAGCATGAAATAGAGGCAGCATAAGTAGCATGAAATACTTATGCTGCCTCTACTGTTGCTGATGATCCCCAGCTGAACTCTTTTCCATACTTTGGGATGCCCTAGTACAGCCTGGATGTCTGCTCCCAGCTATATTTTTGATCATACGTTGTTTGCATTTGTCTTTGTGCTCATTGTGCCTTATTTGTTCTGCTGCATTTCTTTTCTTTCCTTCTCTTGTAAGTTGTGCAGAATTGACTTGCAGTCAAACCAAGATAGAAATGCAGGCAGGTATTTGGCATGGAAGCAAGGTGCCTCTGATGCAATTCCAGCATGTTTTCTTTGGGCAATTTAAATTAGGTGTTTTATTGATACAAAGTCAGTATTTCTGTGTTCTTTTCCAATTCTAATAGTCCTGGATGAATGTAGGAGGTCATTTGCAGATTTAGAGTCATTGCAAGAGCAGTAAGTTTATATGCAAATTTAATATTCCACTGTACAACAGTACTGAACATGAGAAACTTTACCAGTGTAACATGGTTTGTACTGAGTTGCTAGCAGAAGAAAGATTTTGGAATTCCTGTTAAGGATGTATGATCTTAGAGTCAAAAGCACAGAAACCAAGTAAAGATACTTTGCAAAGGGAGCACACAGGAAGTGGGACAGACAGAAACCTTTTTTCTTGTCTCATTCCCAACAGAAAACAAGAGCAGGAGCTTCTGGTTTAGCACCTGCTTCTGACTTCCTCCTCCAGTGACATGTTATTTTTGTAACTGTGCTTGGGTTTTTTTGTGTTTTTTTTTCTTCTCTGAAGCCACCTTGAAACAACTTCCTTTACTGAGTGAATGTTAAGCTTTACTGTCTAGCAGGAAGAGATTTACCCAGGTTTGGGGTTTGTTTCAGGGCTGGTTTGGATTTTTATTGTTGCAGAAATAGGTTATCATTTGTTACTTGAGTGACTGTACTACTTTTTATGTGAACAGCTCACTTGAGGAGTGTGAGGATAGCTCATAGTGATTTTATCTTCCTTAGGAGTTACAAGCTTTACTGAAAGATTTGTAGAGAAATAGGCTTAGAGGAAAAGATGGTTAAAAATAATGCAAGATCAAACAAATAGGAGTGACAGTGATGAGAACAGAGTTCAGCAATGCTTCTGTCTCTTATCCTGTGTGCAACGCATCAAAACTGGGAAAGGGATCTAGGCTTAAACTTGCTTCAGTCATGCTGCCCCTAAAATTAAAATTGACCAGGAGCAGCTCTCTAATCCATGTCTCTGTGTAGCTGCCCAAGTTTTTGAGCAGGCGCTGGGCATGGGGTGGCCTGGAGAGACAGAGAAGCTAAAATTGTTTCCTTTGGCCTGAGCATAAAATGGGTGTGCTTAGTTCAGTTGAAACCTTTCCTTAGAGTGGGGCCTAAGGGCATTGTTACACAGTGTAATTAAATGCTGTTATTTTAATTACATAATAGAATTTAAAGCCTTAAGATATACTTCATAATGTTTTAGAATGAAGCAAAAAAGATTTTAATATATTTACCATTGAATGCAATTGATTCAAGATTAAATACTGTGTCTAAGTGGAAGAAGAAATGCAACCATCTTTGAAAAGTAACTTGTGATGTAACTTTGTGGAGGATTCTTGTTTATGTGTAAGACAGTAATTAATATACAGAGGTTACAACAATTAACATTCCTTCTGCTGTCAGCTGTGGTTTGACACTGGTTGTGGATTTCCTTATGCCACACTGATTTCATGCAGTGTAGGTGACATAAGGCCGCTTCTGGCCCTTTCCATTCTGCTTCTTGTTTCCCAGCCGTGTATAGGACACCTTACTTTTCTTCTCCTTTCCTCTCCTCCTCAGTCTGTTTGAGAGTAGCTCACCTTTCTCCCCAGAGTGTTGGATCTAGTTTGGGAGGTGAATCTGTCTGTGTGATTTATTTCCCTTCACCTCATCTTTCTTTTTACCACGTTCTGGTTTGTGGGATTCCATCATTCATTTGCTCAATTGCCTTTTGAGAAAGGAGCAGAAATAAACACATCAATACTCCACTTGGGTTTTTCTCCATTATCCTCTTTATATCTCTCTAACTTTTTTTGGTTAAAATTATTCACTAAGAGATTTTTATAGACTCATTAAGCAGCTCTTTCTTAGGACTAGCTTTTTGCCAGACCAGGGTCCTGAGACAAGTCTTAACTATTCCAGCCACCATGTTTGAGAAGCACATTTAATTAAAAACTTGGAATTCAGATTGCCTCCCTTTCCCAGCAACATGTATTTTATGACTTTCAGGAGCACAAACATGCAAAAGTTGTCAATCCCAGTGAAGGTCTTGTCAGGAAGACCTGGTTAAAGCATAACTAATTGGGACTCTTTGTTGGTAATAATGGGAAGATAAAGAGAAATAAAAAGAGGACAGAAAAATAGATTTTCACAAGATGACTTCATATACATTTTTTTCCTAGGAGAAAATTACTAGAAGAATATGTAAAATGCAAGTAATGTATTATCACATATATTTACAGAGTTCTTTGAGTCTCTTTTTGATGGCAATCTATATTGCTTCCTCATAGAGTTTGTATTTAAATAGGATGTTTCAATCACTATAATTTCATATGTTCATTTTTTCTGTGTACGAGAACATTTAAACTGTTGATAAATTATGTGGGAGGATAATTTATGTTAAAAAGGGAGAAGATTATGTATTTTAGAGGTGACCTACCAGAGACCGTGTCTATCCTTACTCTTTAAGATAGCTAAACTAGACTGAAAGTTCTGAAATTTTGAGTTATGTTTTGTAATATTAGCCTTGAAAATGTTAGGATTCTCAAATTTGATGATTCCCTACTCATGCCAAGACATGTCTAGCATCTTCTGCTGTATTATCTTTCTTTGTTGTTGAGATACTTGACACAAAATTCTGCACAAAACAATTACACTTGTATTATGTTCCTATGCCAGTTCATTTGGCATCTGCTATTTCTTGTATCTTTTGTGATACTTCAGTGTTTTTCATTGCCTTGGGAACAGGAGATCATGTGCTATGCATGTGCAAAAGTTACAGTGCCATCAAGGATCTAGATCCAGTCATTTTTCCAATAACTTGAGGAAAAGCACTTCTTCTCTAGAAGTTAGATTTTTGTTTTTACAGTTTTTTAAGTTAGCTGTGGCAAACTACTTGACAGGTTCACTAGGGAAAAAAACACCAGTCACTTTCTGTAAATAAATTAACTCAGTGAATGGTAGGATAGTAGTGGAAGTTACATACTAAAATACTGCATTTTCTTGTCTGTATTGCTTAAACTTATTGAATATTAAGATTGTTTGTTGCATGGTATGGTTTCCTCATTCATTTGTTTAGTATGGAGGTTGAATGTTTGCTAAATATGAATTTAGCATAATAGAATTAAGGTATTCACAATGTCAAGTACCAGGAGGCATATTTTTTTGTATTGCAAAAGGCATCTATTTTAAACAGTAGTAAGAGTCAGACTAAATTAAACTGCCACAGATATTTATAAAAAAAGTTTGAATAAAAGAAATTTAAACTACTTAGTTGGGTTTTTTGAGGCAGTGACCTGATAGCTAGCTGGTCATTGCTGCACAATGTTTTATTAGATTCCAGTTGTTAGCAAACAATATTTGTGAAAGCTTGTGGGAGGAAGTATGGTGTAAGAGTTTGGATTCTTGCTGATGGAGTTACTGGAATTCTTTACACATCCGTAATCAGCCTTAACTGATATAGTTTGGTAGTTTATCAAGCTCTGAGTTTTATAATCCAGAACAAAAAACTAGTTTAGTGTGGGAATAGCCAGTGATCATGGGCTGTACTGGTTTGAACAAGTTCTGTTGCTACAGAAATAAGCTGATGTGAAACTGGATGGGTATAATCAGATATCTTCTGAAAGCAACTGAGATGCTTGCAACATGAGGCAGAGCAGCTGTCAAAAATGTTCTTGTGCAAATGTGGTTATCTTTATTTTTGGACTAACCAGCATTTTGTCTTCACAGCAGCTATACTTCTGAATGGAAGTGGCTTGCAGACAGAGCTAGAATTGGCAGCCGTTGGACATGGCTTCAAGCCCAGATTTCAGAACTAGAATACAAAATCCAGCAACTAACTGACCTTCACAGGCAAATACGTGCCACCAAGGTATTGTCTGTAAGCTCATAAATGGGCTTTTCAAATCATCTTTTGACAGTGTTTCTTGTAATATTTACGTATTTGGTTCCTTGTTGGTGTTCTTGTTTTTTTTTTGCCCTAGACTTCTTGTGTCTGTGCAGGCTACCACCTGCAGAGTTTAATGGGAAAGACATCAGGAGCTAAAAACTGTTGTACCTTAAAGGCACCAGTATAGGACTGTGATTTGGGAACCCTTACCTTTGTATGTGTTATAGTGATTTTGTTAGTGGCTTTCAGGGGCCCAGTACACAGTTACTGTATTTATTACTGGTTTCTCCCTCTTCAGGAGAAGCAAGATGGTCATCTCAGGTGGGATGGTTTTTGTGTTGTGGGCTTTCAGGGTGGGTTTTTTGTTACTTGCAGTGCATGTTTATTCTGAGGATTAGATGGTTAATGTTTGTACAGCACTTTGAACAGGTCAAGGATTAATAATTACTAAAATTCCAATGTGTGTAATTCATGTACTAGTTTTTCTAAATTGAGCTGCCTAGTCAGTGGGAAAGTGACATTCCTAAACCATTAGTAATCTAGCTATCAATTTAATGGGTTCCTCAGGTCATTCTGACCTAAAAGAAGCCAAACCTGTGTGAGGTGGTGTGATAGTGAGGAGTTTTAGAGCAGGGCTCTTTGACTCTTCATCAGTGAGCCTCATGTAGGTTCTTTGGCATGTGTAGGGTCACATAAGCACAACTGATAGGAGCAAGAAGATGCTTCAGAGCTTATGTAGTGGCACATGAGACTTAGAGTTTAAAAGGAGAGGAAAACCACCCCAGAGAACATTTCCCTCTGAACAAAAAAAGAATATTAATTTCAGCTTCTCCTTTTTGCCCTCAGAGCCCTTCTTTTCATATCCAGCTTGTCCCCAGTCAGGTTTTTCTTTACAAAGAAGTGGAGAGCCTTTGTTTAAGGGTCTGTGTAAGGAGATTTTATATTTTGGTGAAGGGTGGGAATGTCCATGGTTTGGTGGTGTCCTAAATACCAGATACATGCACACTCTTAAACCCAAAATCTGTCAGCATGTATGATGGTGTAGGTCAGATGACCTACAGAATATTGAGAAATAAATAACAGGGAAAACATTCTTTTAGTCACTCATTTTCTTTAGGTGGTATGTTGGTTTGGAGCCAAGTCATCTTCCTGGTGGAGATTTTTAGTGACATTCCTTTCTGAAACTCCATGGCCATTTTACCAGCTGTGGTATTTAGTGTTTGGCATTGTGTCCCATAATGAAGGCAGGCACCTATTTTCTTCAGATGGGATTTTTTTTGTGTACATGTTTCAAATGCACCAGTGCAGCAGCTACAGAAGGACATGTGGGCTGATAGAAGAGCTCTTTGTTTTCATTTAGTGGTTGCAAAGGAATTACACAATATCATTAGAATTTGTATGCTGTTTAATGGTTTCAGAGTGTTTTTTATGTACTTTGACTGGAAAAAAATGTGATTCTTAGCCAAGGAACAACAATTTCAAACAAAAGGCCATTCCTTGAGCACCATAATGCAATAGGAAGGGACATGAGTAACTTGTGGGCTGTTTCCAGGCCTGTTACAGGGTGTTCTCCATCTCTACAGACACAGAAGTAGCACCTCTGCATCTTTGAGAGTCCTTTAATTTAAAAAAACATGTATGTCTGCAAAACAATTCCAATTGGGGAGGAAGGTAGTCATTGCCTAAACCTACTGATTTTAACCCATTTTTTGTAACACAGTCTGTATTAGTCTTCTAGTTCTTTACTCTTCCTCTTTCCTTCTGTGCCTGTTCCATCTCTCCCATTCCATATACTCTGTCAATTTTCCTCTTCCTTTTCTGCTTTCCTCTTTCCATGCTTGGTAAACAAGTTTCTAAAACTTAAAAAAAAAAAATTCCATTGGAAGCATGTGTTTGTGTATGTCCCTCTTTTCAACACTTTTAATTTGTGTCTTCCCATTCCTTTGACCTCAGAATTTCAGTCTTTAGACCTTTTAGACTCTGTGGTCATGACCTGTGATCCTTTTACTAAATAAAAGAACTAAAGATTCTAAATTCTAAAGGAATTTAAAGCTGTTCAGGTAACTTGTCCTCCTGTTGTGGCACACAAAAATTAGTTCTCTACTTGAATTTCCTTGAGTATGCTGCTCGTCTGGATTTGTGTCCATCTGCTGTAAATGGAAAAGTGCAGGTGACGATCTGTGCAGAAAATCTAGCACTGACTTAATGGACATTCAGAATCTCTGTGCCCTTTTTAGGCATTAAAAGTTTTCAAGCACCTTTGTTTATTTTTACAGAATATCTTTATCTCAGCTTTGAATTTATAATTCAAACTTTGGAATAAGTTAGGCACAATGAGAACAAGACAATTTCACTTTTTCTCGTAGTCTCTTCTTTGAAGTCTCTTTGAGACTTGCTTTTATGTTTTAAGGCCAGTTGCTGCTGAGGCAGTAGTAAAGGTCTTGCTGAAACTACAGGATCCTTAGTTTTCCACAGCCACAACCTAGGTGAAGTCTGTCTTGGTTAAAGAAATATAAATATGGCTTCCTTGTGTTCACATTATGGCAGTCTTCTTTGTTCTCTGGTTGAGTGGAATATTCTCATTAGAAATACAAACTTGAGGGAGAATTATAATGATCCCATTCTTTAAATATCTGCTTGATATTTGAGTTACAGTTAGTATTTAAAAGCAATTTAAGTTCTTTCCCTTTCTCTTTGGAAAAAACCTGCAGAGTTTTGATAGCCATTTCTGGTATTAAATTTATTTGCTCAAGATAATGACAAGCCAAGGAACTGTTTAAGGACTGGGTTTGACTGTGACAAAGTTATTTTTGCTTTTATTTTGTATAACATTTTAAGTTCTTAAACCAACGGATGTATTACCTAGGATTGTACTAGAGACTTCCATTTTTAAAATCTGTCATGTGGAAAACACAATAGGGGTATTATTTTTCTAGTTCCATTTATGAAACTGTTATTTCCCTAAAATATAAAGTTATATTTATTTTATTAGGTGGTGTTCTAGATGGCACACTGCATCTGATACCACATTTGTGCAGATGGTCTTGAAAAGTAGTGACAGTGCTGGAATATTTAGGAAAGTTACTTATAATTATAAAACTCTAAAGATGCTCACCTTGAAAAATCACTTATTAAATTGTAATTTTTTTTTTTTAATTGTGTCATTTCTGCTACGTAAAAATAACAGCCTTGATGTTTTGCATAGAACATGGATAGGAATAAGAGAAATAGAGCACTTTAAAATGTCTCCAGCAAGGTTTGTTGACTGCAAAGACTAAAACCAAGTTCAAATCAAAGGGTGATGTTTTTTTAGGAAAAAAACTCCTCTTAAATCAGCAGGCAAAATATAATCTAATATTCTAATAAGTATGAATTTCTGATTTGAATTTTGGCATAGATGTTTAAGCAGTGGTGTAACACTAGAGTGATTGCTGTTACAAGGAATAGCATAACTGATGTAGCTTTTTTTAAAAGAATACCTACCATTTCCATTTTTTAGCTGTGAAGTATATTTAAAATCTAAGTGCTCGAAAATCGTCAGGAATGTGCCAGGTTTGACTGCCCCTTAAAAATTATTTAGGAGGCTTAATCTGTTGTCAACCAACTGTGTTCAATTGCTGTTGTCTAGGGGACGGTGGTCCTAGAAGAATTCCCATTTCCAAAAGACATTCTGAAGAAGCAGATCCAATTGACAGAGCAAGAGGCTTTATTAAACGCCACAGGGAATTCGCAAGCTGCCATTGAGAGCCAGGATTCCTTGCCAGAGCATGACTTTGAAATGTCACCCAGCAGTCCCACTCTGCTTTTACGAAACATAGAAAAACAGGTAAAGTAAAACAAATATGAGCTGGCAGTGAAGCCAAGTGATTGACTTCAGAAATAGGGAGGTTCCATGGTGATGACTTCCAAACAGAAAGATATTTTGCAGTCCTGGGATTGGGTGGTGATTAATGGAAGGGCTTAAATAACTACTCTGTACAGCAGGTTTACAAATTAACCTTTTATTTCTGATGTGTCTGTGTTACCACATTGTTTCCCTACAAACAGACACATCACAGCCTCTAAGAACCATACACAAACCTGCTTCTGCTTTACAGTGGGGTCAGTATAGAGTTTCCACAGGTTGTTTCAGGAAAAGCTTAATATGGGATGAAAGAGAACAGCTGACAGCAGAGATATATTGCACTTGAAATTAAAAAAAAAAAAAAGTTCCAGCAGAATACAATTGTTCATCTGCCTTTTCAGACATTGTAGGACTCTGGTTTGGAGCTGAGGAATTCCAGGTGCTTACTGGGTACAGAGGAGACATAGTTGTCAGTGGAGTTTTTGCTTTGCAGTGTGCAAAATGGCTGTTTCCATGGTTGATTCCAGGAAATACTATGTAGACTCCAATATGGAAGTACATAAAGGATGTGGTAGGATCACATTGCTGAAGGAGATACTGGAAATTTGTTTTACTGAATGAATTTATGCAGTTTGTGTAAAACAAAGCCACTGTGGACATTAATTTGTTGCTCTGCTGGTCTACATAAACTCCTGGTCACACTCACATTTTTTAAAAGAGGTATAAGTAATAGCATTAAGTACTAGTGCCTCTTCCTGAATCTCTGTGCCATTTTTGCTTATTTGATAATCATACTTTCTTGTTCTTAAAATGCTTCCCCTGGCTGATAAATCTTATCCACCACAGGCAGGTGTGAGGAAGCAATGAAACAGGAAATTTTTATGCTCAGTGCTGGCAATTGCATAAGGTAACCTAAAGAGCATTTTTAGAATGTGATGAATGGCCCCTCTTTTAAGTGGTGGATTGGAGAATTAAACACACTTTTTGGCAAGACTTTGGACAATTTAAGGGATAGTGGTCTGTTTCCTGGTCCCCAAATAGCCCCAAACTTGGTCCAAGGGGTCCAAGAACTTTGATGATCTGAAAATTACATGGAAGTAGACTAACACTTCTCACACAGTACATGGGATTTCTTCCCTTTTACACCACTAAAAGCCTTGGGGTTTGATTTCCTTTTTGACTACAGTTCTGTTCTTAACTCTGAAAGTCTGAGTTTCTTGTTCAGTGTCAAGAGTAACAATGCTGCAGCCTGAAGAACATCTACAGATATTCCCACAGAATTCCTCAGTCTGCTGTTCAAGTATTCCTTTGTTAAGAATAAGGAATTTTGCTTGTGAACCAGAAGAAAAGTCATGTAGAATAAAAGTGACTAAGGCTGGCAATTTTTATTAATACTTTTGTCAAGCTCTTTTCATAGCTATATGTACGTTTTTCCTTGTGTTTTGGAAGTCTGCCTATTTTTTTAATGCTCTTATATTCAGTAGAGACTACTCCTTACAGAATTAATTCTGCTGAGATTTTTAAATTAATCTGCTAATTATTTTACTGGCACTTTGTTTACTTTGCCAGTTCTTTTATGATTGATTTGTCATTTCTGTGCTTTAATATCCATCCCTGATTTTTTTATTCTGATGTGAAATTTTCACCAGACTACATCACCTGAATGTTAACAGAAAATATGTGAGTTGTAATAAAACAAATAATAAATTCGTCCTCTTTCTGCATAAATGTAAATGTAAAATCAAAATGTACAGAAAATTTACTAGATAAACTCTAGCAATTCATGTTTTAAATATTCTTAGTTCTGAATGAAAATCCAGCGAAGTAATGCAAAAGGTTGTTTTTTTAAAAAGGAGTATGCCATTCCAAATACATTTAATTTCTGTTCAGTGTGCAGAACAGAGTTTCCTCTAAGCAAGCTACATTTATTGTGAGAATAGCCTTTAAGGTCTGACATTTAAAACAAAAAATCATTGTGAAATATTTTTGGACTCAGTCCACAATTCATTGCTTTGGAAGGATTAATTCTTAGTCTTACAAATTAGCTACATTTGTTTCATTTGTTTTGGGTCAGTTTTGAAAGTCAGGTTTTTTTGCAGGAGAACGGGCCAGCAGGGTGGTTGCCTCTTGCTGCTATTTTTGAGGATATCAGAAGATGCTATCCATTCTGTCTGTCATTACAATAGTCCTCAAGTAGTTACACTTCCTTTTATAAAAACACCTTTGTCAAACTGTAATAAGTAATGAAGAGGATTCTTTTCAGAACAAAAATACTTTGAGTGAACAAAATGTACAATGAATAGACAGTTGGCCTTTTTTTTTCCCCTGTTGAAATGCTTGTCAAATGGCCAGTTAGCAGTTCTGTCTGCAGCTGTTGTAATATCAGCTGTAAAGTGTTCTGCTTTCTTTTTTCCTTTAAAGGCCTTTGGTTACAATGCTAAGGTCACTGATGTATTTGGGGTACTACTTCAAATGTATAAACAATGTTCAGGGTTGTGGTGGTGTTTTATTTGGGTTTTGGTAGGGTTAAACATAATAATTGTGAAATAAAACCATGCCACCACAGTTATTCACAGGAAGAAACTAAATATGATTAGTCCATGATGTACAGGACTGAAATCCTAAGTAGGAAAACAAGAACCCAGGACCTTTGAGCTGTTGAGTCTGGATAAGTCTGACTACCTTTAATTTTAACTTTTTTTCCAGAGTGCACAACTAAGTGAAATCATCAGCAGCCTAATTGCTCCACTCAATCTGTCTCCAGCTTCTTCATCTCTTTCATCCAAGACCTGTAGACACAGACAGCTGGTCAATGGTATCTCCTTCAGGTGGGTGACAGTGTGGTAGGGTAGGGGTTTTTCTTGGGAATAACTTTTGGTAAAGTTATCTATATGGAACTAATAATCATTACAATATTAAATAAGGAAAAATAAGCTTTCTGCAGGCTTCAAGAGAAGTTCAAGTCTTGATTGTAACTTTGAAAATAGTAGGGTTTTTTGTTGTTCCTGGAGATATAAATGTATAGTCGCTATAACTGTTTAAGTACTTGGAAGATGAATCTGTGAAGTAGTGAAAGAATATAGGAACACATTTGTTGTGACTGAGACTTAATGCATTCTGTCATAGCAAGTGCAGCTTTATTTCTGGAAGACTCACAAACTAGATTAGTAGAATACATGAGCAATGTCACATGTCTCAGCAGGAGTCAGTGTCAGGGTGGTGACTTCATATAATTTTAAGCAGATCAGTCTTCAATGAAAGGCCAAATTTACCTTTGCCACCCACATTTTCAGGAATTTGGAGATACTGTTTTCCATTCAAGGTATTTTATTCTGGGTGGACATACCTTCCAGGATGACTATAGGTTGAAATTAATATTTTAGAAAAATGTTTATCAGTGCTAGTCCATACTGCTTAGTAATTCTATCTTTTATTCAAAGATTTGAAGCACAGTACAGGCTGTAATAAATATTAGTTTCAAAACAACATTAAGGTAATTGAATACAGTTAAAAAAGGTCTAGGTGTGTTGGATATTTCTCCTGAAATACTTGTAATGTGATTTTTGAGGATGCTGTTATTCACAGGTCTTAATTAAGATCAGGTGGATGAAGAAACTGTTCCCAACTAGAACTGGGGTGTTTATGGCAGAGTGTGCAGCAGAACATAATTCCCTGGCTCCTGACTCAAGAAGAGCTGGCCACACCGTCTGTTTCAGCTTTGCTGCAGAGGCTGGAGCCTCCCACAAAGAGATTATAGAGAGCAGCTTGGATGGGCAGCTTCTTTAGCTGCCTTCTGTTGCACAGTGATTGTGTGATTCTGCCCTAAATTTAAGGATGAAGGGGTCCTGGCATGTGATGTCCCTGTTCCTGGTGTATCAGTTGTTTGTAGATGATGTAGGAGAAAATCAGAAGGTTCCTCTCAGATGTGGACTAAAAATAGCCCTGAAATAGGAGTTGCTCATAGAGATGGGTATGTGGAAGAAGAGAGTCATTTAGGCTGTGTCTTGAATCTGATTTTTTTATGAGACATAAGAGGAAGAATTTCTGCTTTTAAGAATGTTTTTAGAAAGAGTGTCTGAAGTGAACTTCATGATGAGAGACTCTAATGATGTAGCTTCAAGCCAATTCTCTTCTTATTTATTAGGCCAAAGTTTGTCTTTCCATTTCATGAGTAACACATTGTTTGCTCATGGAACACTCTCTAAGGTTGGTTGTTTTCTACTCATGACCTAAAAAAGGCCAAAAAAAATGTTAGGGCTTGGAAGATTCTCTCAGTGCTGTAGTTCTAAACTAGAGTTTGGCAAGGTAGGTGTTGGAAGGGAATCTGAGAGATTTTAGGTCATTTTCTAGATGCATTTTCTAGATGCTGTCTTAAACATGAGTTAAACAGTTAATTTTAATTTTTTACTGCTTATGAAGTGTTTTGAAATTTGCCAGTAAATACTGTTCATTAAAGATGCATGAAATAGAGTGGTTCTCATGAGAATCCTGCAGAGAAATTCACTGCCTCCTACTTCTGGAGGTTTTTTTGAGCGTGTTTCAGATTTTTGGTGGTATTTTGTTGTTGTAGTAGCTGTGTATTCAATTAATTGAATTAACTTATTAGTTAATAATTAACTTGTTGTAGTTAACTCTTAGCTGCTTCTCTCCTTGCTTTTTCTAGAGTTCATTTTGACTGTATTCAGTATTTCAGAAAGCAGAAATCAAAATCAAATGGAAAATAAGGGGATTTTTTTATTTTTGAGAGGGGAAAAAACAGGTGATAGCAATTTTTACTTAAGTAACTTCTTGAAATTAGTTGTAGGCTGTTCATGTGAATTTTCTATTTTAAAGTAGGTTTAAACATGAGATACTCTGAGGTTGGTAATTTCTGGTTTGCAGTACATGTGGAGGTGCTTGGCAGTTCCTGGTTGACTGAATGTGGGTAACCTTGAATTGCCATCTGTCAAGGCCTAATTACATTAGCGTGTTCGTTTATTTTTGTGTTGCTTTTCCTTGCTCAGTTGAATCTAGGTGCCAAGATTAGCCCAAAGCATTGCTTGAAGGTAGATGCACATAGAAGCAGTTCCCTAAGCTAGTGATATCCCTTTCTTATGAAGGGAGAGGAAGGAAAAACTTAATTCTTCAGGACAATTAGTGCCTGTCTAATGGCTTGCTGTGCAAGCTTGCCTCTGGAAGTAAGGTTAGGAGCAAGAAAGGCAAACCTATGAGCTTTGAAAGGAGCATTCTAGAAAATTTATGACTTTCACATCTGGCCATGGTTCATTTTGCTCTTCTGTAGAATCACATTTTGAAAAACACACAGACTAAGATCAAAGCAAGTGGGTAACTCAGCTTGATTGGGAAACCTTTTACACAAGTGGCAGGAAAACCCCACTGCCATGTGCTGGAGCTCCAGGCCATGAAGATGAGATCTCTTCATCTGAAACTTGCAATCCTGCAAGGCACAGGAGGGTAAATACAGTTGATGTCAGACACTGCAGAGAAATTACCAAGAGCCTTGGCAGACCACTAGAACAAAGGCAGGAATCGCAGAAGATGAAGAGTGAAGCTGAGGAGCGTTCTGTTCTAATTTATGTGTCCAAGTTGTCCCTCACTTAAGAGAGAGGTATGTGGAAATCCACAAGTTGAGCTTGGGACCATCTGACTTAGAAAATGTTTCTGAGAATTCAGAGAGAGTATTTTTAAGAAGTCTTTTCCATGGACTGTAAACCTTGTATTTCTTTCTCAAGCCTTAAAAGTGCAGTGTTAATATTAAGAATGTCATGCCTCAGTATTTCAGGCTTTTCTTGGCACTCACTGGTATGTTCCTTTAAATACTTTGTACAATCCTCTGTTAATTAGCATGTTGTTTTCATGTGTCTGTGTTGCTTATTGGATTATATTGCTGTGTGGGGAAGACAGCTCAAATTCAAGCCTGTAAAGCCTTGTTACCACTCCAACACAGCATGGGATGATGTTTAATCACACTTCCATATCAAGCCTTTTCATTTAATAAAAATGTACTGGTAAAAGAATACCACCTGTCAAAAATGATTTATAAGTGGCCTTGTAATAAATTCATTTTCATGTTCTATTGTGTCACAGCTTTACTAATAAAGCTGTGACTTGTCATAAGACAAAATAATCATTTTTACAGATAGATGACCTGTTATGAACCAAGGCCTAAATAACTTACGTGGCTGCACTGCTCAGACAGTCTAGAGTTGTGGTCAAGGTCTTGAGTACTGTAAAAATAAAAGCACACTGCTTTTTGCAGTAAACCTTAAATTTTGCATGCAGATGTTGCTACAGCAACAAAATAAAATCAGGAATACCTATAGCAGGGAAGTTCATTCTTCCCATTGAGTCATTCCCACCCAAATGGGAGGGTGTTTTAAATTCTTACCTTGTGGTGTTGCCTATTCTGGTCACCAGACAGGCTGTAGATTGGTGAGGATGGTGTGAGGTTGTTCTATACATACGTGCAGGGGCTGCTACTGCTTTTGGCCACGTTTTTGCACTTGATTTTGACTCTCTACACTTGAAGTTGTGGAGTTCCTAATTTTGATACAAATGCTTCACAGTGAGTTGCACCCCTGTACTGAATGATCACTGGTTTGTAAAGCTTTACTTAGGTTTCAGTTCTTGAGAAAAACCAGAAAATCTTGAAAGTATGAGGACAGAACTCTAGGTCTCCTTTACAGTAGCATGACTGCTGTCTTGAATGGAACATCAGTATGAAGGGAAATATTAATTGTAACTTGAAACTCATACGGGTTAAAAATATTAGAGAGCTCTTGAATTTGTAAAAAAACAAAACTTGATATATGTTTGAGGGCTTAACTTCATTTTGACATTTGTTTCCATGAGCACAAAGGTGAAGAAGAATGATAAGCTCCCTTTCCTGAGCTGACATGAAAAGTAATTAAGTAGCAAACAAAGCACATACACAATTGTCTGAAACAGCATGCTAAAACCTTGTGTTGTTTATAAAATTCCCTTAGAATTAGATAGCTAATGCTAATCAGTGTGTGAAGTCATGGCCTGTGCATGTGGAGCATGTCTGATGTTTTGAATTTCCTTTCCTCATTATTCATGAAACTGCAGAGCTTCAGACAATAAAGAGGTGTCCTCTTCAAGCAGCTGGCTGCTTGACCATCAGCACATCAAGAAAAGAAGAAGAGACAGGACAAGGCTCAGGTCTGTCTCTGTGAATAATGTGAGCACATCTGCCCGAACAAGGCCACTTCAGAGTTTCCAGAAGAGGAAACTCTACAGAATGCACGGTGCCTGTCACTGGAATCAGCAGGTAGGCCCTGGCCTCTCTCTTTGGGAAAGAAAACCAGCCACCAGCTGCTTGAGTCAGCATGTGTCTTGTCTGGTGTGCCAGAGGAATGGTGCACGCTGTGCTGCTTATTTGTTGCGTTCAGGGACCATGGAGTGTGTGTGGTGCCAGTACTGGTGTGTCTGCAGGAGCTCGGAGTTAATGAGTTGAACATAAAAATTAAAGATAGCTCAGAGTCTTGCTTAGCAAATCAGTGTGTTCTATGGCTGTCTTTAAAGCCCTTGTACAATCTAAGAGACAACTTGAGAGTTCTTTTGGAGGCCTGACTGTTGAGGAGATGCTACAGTGTAAAGCATCTGCCTGCTTGTTTTCAGAATATTTGTTTTAGCTACAGGAAAGCTTACACAGCTGGTGGCACATTATTTTCTAGGAAATTGAATTGCAATACCTTAATCTTGTTTCCATTTTTGCTGTTTCTGATTAGTTATATTGCCTTTTTCATGACACTTAAAGAGTGCTTGAAAACTCTGACAATTTTCTGCATTACAGAGGAATTAATATTTTAAAATGGAAAAAAACTCATTCTCTTGTGCACGGCAAGGCTATCTGATATCTTACATCTGATATTAATAGCATATTGCTGGTAAGAATATATAACGAGTTTAGATGTGGTGCTTAAAGAAACAGTCTAATTTGGGAGCAGAGACAGTATTAACCCATTCTTTAGAGGAGTGCTAATCCCAAGAGGGTTTAATTTCTTGATTTTTGCTTTGCCTTTTTAAGTGTAGTATTGAGGGAAGTCTCCATGTCTCCTCAGCTGTGTAGGATTTACTAAGTGTGCTAGTGGTCTGGGGAGCAATTTCCCATGCAAGGATATTCCATGCTGATTCAGCATTCTCTGCAAAATGGCAGAGGTGTCCTAGTTTTAGCAAGATACTTTATTGAAAAACTGTCCAGTTTCTTATTTGTTTGAGTTCCCAGCTTCCTGGCAGTGGGACTTAAAGACTTGGCAGCCTGCCTGGAAGGTTTGGGCCGTAGGGGATGGGTGGTGAGTGAGTCTAGGAGCTCTGCCTTCTGCTAGTTAGCCTTTTCATCTTCCTTCCATTGACCAAGAAGACTGTTGTGGACTTGGACTTACTGTTTCCCATGCAATCCTGTCACAAAGGTTGGAGGCCCCGTGCTATGGCTGATGCCTCCAACTGCTTCTTGCAGCTGTGGAGAGAGTTCCTTTAGCAAGAGACTCGAGGACTTTCCTTTGTCTTAAACATGAAGGGTTTTCACTCCAGATGCAGTTTCTAAATAACAGGCCTTTCTGGAAGCCTCTTGTCTTGCAGGTTTGAGTATTTCATATTTCTACAAGCACTACCTATGTCTCTGTGTTCTGAGAAGTGGACCAGAGTTAGTGAAGTTCTGAGAATATCAGTAAAGGCTTGTGATCAGAGGATATCAAGGCTTGTGATCAGGAACTCCATGTCTATAGCCTGACAGCCAGAGTTCAAGGCAGAGTTTACATTTTTACCTTCAACCAGATACAGAGCTTAGCTGCTCTGAATGCTTGATAGTTTATCTTGACTTGTAGGCTGCAAAGAAAGATTTATAATTAACCTTTGGCTGTAGGCTGCAAGCAAAAAGTATGTTTTTAGGTTACTAGTTAAGGATTCAAGTATTGGAACTGGTGCAACCCCGTGTCTGCTCCATACTCTTGACATCTCTGGTGCCAGGCTGCCATATAATAATCCAGCTTCACTGTCTCTGTACCAAAAGTGATGTCCCAAAGACAGCAGGGTAAAACACCCTGTAGGGAATACTGTTTATGCTTACTGCAGTTCTCAGCTCAAAACTGTGTTTAGACTCTGCTTTTGAATGTCCTTTCCATGAGAAAGTTAACCAAGAGGCAATGTGAGGAACTACATAATAGGGTACAAACAGATTGTGTACTCTTTTTCCTTGAGAATATAAGAAATTATGGCAGCAATTGAGTTGTCAGCTTCAGTCATCATGCAGGTGCCAAACTCAGTTAAGTTTTGAAAATTAAGGTAAAGCAGGGAACAAAGCCTCACGCTTTGGTTGAAAACAGAGGATCAGGGATTCTGCTAAGGAAGTAAGTGGTAAAATTAGACTGAACATGTCCAGCGCAGACTGACAATCAAACCTGAATCAGTATTGAGATTTTAAACTAAGAGTCATCAGCAGTGTATCATTTCATTCAACAAATCTTACTCTAACAGGCCCTGTCACTTTCTTAGTCCTGCACTTGCTATACATGATTACCCAGCTGTTGATGAGATTGCTCATCTTGTAATGAAAGAGCACTGGCCATCAGCCCAGACTTGCTTCTGGATTAGGCAGATGTCTAAGGGTAAGGATGCAAAATGGGGAATGGTTTCTGGGATTGGTGTCTAGTTTTCTCTGAAAAGGCATTTATATTCCCCAGATTCCAGCAAATTTCCTCTGGTCTTTCAGAGAAAAAAATGAGTAGCTTCTTAGCATATAGGAGATAGTTGGATTTTTAATGTAACATTAGTGTGCCTTCTCTAGCAAGTGCCTCTCCCATATTTCCTCAAATCTATCATATTTATATAATCCCTGGTACCACAATCTTTGAGGACCCCCATTTCTTTAATGTCACTGGCCTGAAAACAAGCTGGGAGTCTTAAAGCAGATGTGGAATAACAAATTCCAGCTTGCCAAAATCAGAGGAGCAAACTGAATCTCCTGAATGTTGCAGCTCCTGGTGGTGCCTGGTTTGAACAACCAGCAAGCAGTGCCTGGCAGTGCTGAGCAACGATGTTGCTCTGCAAAGTAATTTGAGCAAATGGTGTCTAAAGAATTATAAGCAGAGAATCACAGCAAAATGCAGACCTCTGTGCAAAACATTAAGAAATGCTGGGATGGTTTTGAAGAATTTTCAATTGGGTTTTCATTGCAATGACTGGTTGTACCGTTTGTGCATCTGAATGACATTCAGAGTGTCATCCCTCACATCTCATCAGATTCATTTGGGAAGCTTATTCTCCCCCCTCATCCCTCTAACATCCGTGTTAGGAAAAGTAAAGTATGAAACTGTGAATTGCTATGCCATCTCTTAGTTCATAAGGTCACTGGGAAGGCAGCCACATTTTTTCTCTTATCTACTGCCATGCCACATACATTTACAATGAGTGTGTATGACCTAGGAGCCTCCTGTTGCCTGTGGAGAGATGCCCTATATTGTCCTCTGCTGTTTATTTTCTGAAAAGGACTACACCTTCCCCTGCTGTGCTAGTTCAATAATGCTTACACAGGGTAATATCTAAAAGAAAATACAGAAGTCTGTGAAACTCCAGAAGACCTTCCAGACTGACAAGATAGATTGCAGATAAATAAAACAGGATACAGGGTGTTTGGTTTATCTGTCACCATCCAATATCCTCAGGAACTTGAAACAACCTTTGAGGCCAAATCCGCTTGTCCCCTAATTCAGAATGACTAAGTACCACAAGATGATCCCTGAGTCATCATTTGGCCCTGGAATCTGTTTTCTATCTTTCTTCTTTATCTAAACAGCTTTGTAAGAGCTTAGACCATTTCTTGTTTGTGAGTCATGCACAGCAAGCCCTGGGATTGCAGTCTGTGCTTCAGTCTAGAGGACATGATTGTCGTGGTGCATTTCTTCAGCTTGAACATTTGAATGAATGAATGAAAAACTTGCATGCAGAACAGCACAAAAGTGTAAGAAGCAGGTGTGTTCTAGTAACAGGAAACAAAGTTTGCAGGTGGGAGTTGGAAGGGTGAGAGTGCTGTGTTCAAAATGTTGGATCGTTTGCATTGTTACAGCTGGCAAGTCAAAACCTCTGGATCATTGTCTCCTCCTATATAATGTGTGTCATGTAATTTAATGCTAAGAAAGAAGGCCAAAAGTATCTAAACATTAAAACCCAGAAAGTGTGCAAGTAGCAGATGGGTGTCAGGTCTGTAAGACACAAACACCTATTGAATCATTTCTCAGTGGTTGTTGCATTTATAACTGCCTTCTTTCCCCACCCTAGAGTCTCTAGTCTAATGCTTCATCCTTCTGCAAATGCTTTTCCTATTGTAAGGAAAACTGTAGCTCTGTCCCCTGCTGGTTTTTTGTCTGCACTTGAAGGAACTAAATTATCTGTGACTAAATTTTTAAAAGCAGACAAGTGTTATACTAGTCAGAAACTCTCAGAGAGATTTGCTTAGCTGATATGCCCTGATGTTTTCTTTTTTGCTATTTCACCTGTGTGAAATAGCAAAAATCCTGTGCTGCAGGATTTTTTTAATGACAAGGATTTTGTTTTGCCAGTATATTTCGTTAGTTTCTCATTTCATATCCTAACAAAGGATATTAATTCCACTTTCTTCAAGTCATGTTTTGCCAAGAGATATCACTGATGTTATGTAGACTTTAAATCTGTAAAAACTTTATATAGCTCTAAGTGCAGGTAAGAGACAATAGAGCAGTGAGATTGGAGTACTGTCAATTTTGTCCGTGTGTGTTTCTTTGCAGAGTTGTAGAGCATGGTGGGTTTTTTTAATCTGAAAATTCTCACTGTAATTGTATTCCACCTGCTGGAGAAAGAGTTTGTTGTGGGGACCAAGGCATGTGGAGAAAACAGAATTCAAATTTACAAAGGTGCCAGCACCCTGAAATTTTGGAATTGAGGTCCAAAAGCTTACATTTGGATACCACAGGCAAACAGTTGGTATAGTGTTGCCAACTCTTGCAGTTGCATATTGCCACATTTTCTTCTCTGCAGTCTCAACTGGGATTTAAGTAAGAGCAGAAGAATATCTGTTTTCATTTAGTGTTTGAAAAAAAAAGTGAGTGCTTGTCCAGAAGGCTGCAAAGCAGACAGGAGAAAAGTATTTAAATTGTAGGGTATGAGTTTCTTCTTTTGATTTAAATCTCATGCTGGTTCTATGATTTATATGTTCAGGAGCATTCCCAGTCCATGTCTAGTGCCAGTGGTATTTTTTGTTGATGCCATTTGATAAATACATGTGGTCTTTCCCAAGTC